TATTTTAATTTAATATGCAATTGCATACAAAGAAAATGTCAATGCAATGAAAAATGTGTTGGAGAGGGGAGAGGAATGTTTCTGAGTAAGTGGTATATAAAAATGCATTGAGGAATTTTATGAAATAATTATATGTCCATTTAAGACACTATTTCAGAATAGTTCTTAAACAAAATAAATAAATACTGTTTTCAAAATCTGCAGCAGTAAGGGTATCTCTAAATTAAATTCCTGTGCTGTCATTACATTGTACATATGTTTCTAATACATATGCTACATTGTAATATGTGTTTCTAATATAGCATATCTTTGTATCCTGGGAGAGATTAAAATATCTTGCAAAAGGGAAATCTTTCCAAAAGCTTAATTGTAGAACTACACTGGCAAGACATGCTATAAATTCCATTTGTCACACATTAACCAAACTAAAACAGCTTTAAAATTTCATATTAAAGTTGGTTCTGTAAACATTATCCATAAAGGTTTTTTCATTTGGTGAATTGGATTTCTTTGAGCTTTTCACATTTCCAAAAATTTATTTTCTTAGTTAACAGCAATTATTTTAATCCAGTCCTTAGTTAAATTTTCAGAAACGTGATATCTTACTTTTTCACATTTAATTAATATTTTACTCTATAGACAGTGCTACATTAATGCTCACTTTGCTCCATCCATTACTTTCAATATAAAAACAGTTGTTACTCTTCCCATTTTGCCAATTACGTATTTTTTCTCTGATCACCCTTCAATAGAGGTTTGTTCATAATCTGTGCCAAGGTAAGGTTGATATTTTGCATAATTTAAGATTTTACATTGGCATTCCCCAAATTCAAAAGTAATCTTTTATGGGTCAACTGTAATTTTCTCAGTGATAATTGTTATAATTGCAGCAATTTTAATGTATATGATGACATTAAGAAATAAGTTATTAAGGTGTACTTGCAATAAATTACTAATTGCTGTGGGAAAAAATTTTTTTTTGTTTCATGAATCAAATAATACAAATTTGAGAGTATTTCTGTTGCTGAATTCAAATTCTGGATCAGAATTTTTCTGTTATGCAACATCTTTTGTGAAATTTAGTCAAAGTTCATCTGCATATATATAAATCTGTATGTGCATTGAGGAAATAGAACATCTAAAAGATGCAAATGTATGATTTTCTGTTGTATTTGACTTGAGGAACCTTTAAAAAAAGGACAGCCAAAGTCCGCAAGCATATTGCAACTTGATAAGATTGTTAGAGTTGTGAGTGAGAATATAAAAAGTAAAGTTTAAAACTTGCTGAATACCATGGGCTTACTATATGGACTGTAAAGTAATCATCTACCATTTTGTAACAACTATCTGCCCTACATTTTCCCACGAAAATTTTTGCATTCTTGAAAGACTATCAACCGACTGACTTTTTCTTTTAACCCATTAAAGCCCAAATTATTTTAAATGAGAAATTTTGAAAAATATTTTAAAATTACATTTCATATATCATAAATAAAGTAATTATGAAGTTTTATTCAATTACCATAATTAGCAGTTCAGATAATAGGTGATCTATAAATGGATCGCAGGTTGCTTCTGGTAATAAAAGAACAAGTAACTGTGCTCTGATCTTATGTTTAAAAAATTACGAATTTAGTTTAAAAGATTTGAATTTTTTACAAAATTTAAACCAATTTCAAAGAAAATTATCTTATTTTACTGACCTAAACTTCCTTAGTTATATTTTTATTGAGCAAATTTGCAATATTTAAGTGTAATGTAGCGGAAAACATTTCACACAAAGTGTTACATCGCATTGTGTACAAAACATAACAGGACTTCCCTTACGGTTTTTAAATTGGCATCTTCTTTGTTTTCGTCTTTTACCTATAACATGGTCTTTCTAAACGTACCAGAGCCAAACACTTTGGTTTCGATGACATCACCAAATGTCTTCCAATACTTTTCTTCGAATTTGTTTCCTATTTTGAGGTATGCAACCACAATATGCCTTCGGATGTCTTTTATATGTTTTTTCACCACTCTTGTTCCAAGCGGTTCATTTGAAATTTCAGGAGTATTGTGAAAATTCTCTGCACCACAGTGTAAGTCAAAATTATAACAGTAGCCCTTTACTCCATACATGGCCCATGATTCATAGTAAAACCATATAGGTTTCCCTTTAAGATATTGTTTGAAAAAGTGATGACAGTAATATCTAATCATTGTTTCATCAACAGACAGCTTTTTATTGAAAATACCAAATTTTTTTTAAAGTGTGATTTATGTGCGTGATTAATTTTCTTATTTTGAATGTGTGGTCTGATTTTTGCATTGCTGCGTAATTATTGTTAGCAAAATGGATTACAGATTCTAAATATCTATTTAAAGACATTACATTTTTTACTATCGGTACCATGAAATCTTCCTATGACCAGTAATCACCTTCATTACGTAAAGTATAATAGCCAGAGAAAATCAAAAAACCAATAAAACTTTTCAACTCATCAATTGTAACTGAAAACTCTGGCCTATTTTCCCACATTTTTGCATATCTTTCTGTTTCATTTATTACACATTCGTAAAATTTGGGCGTTAAAAATTCATCACAAATTTCAGTTGGATTAATATTTTCAAAAATATTCGACATACTCTCAAGATTTTCACCAGACAAATTACTTGCTTTGTTAAAAGCATAAGTAGGGTCCTTTTTTTGTCCAATTTGCTTTTGGCTACATTTTTTTGATAATTTCGAACTAACTCTTTTTTTTATTTTCATTTTCATTACTGATGCTAGATGTAGATGGCAGTTGCTCTGTAATGGTTAGGGTCCAAAATCATTTATGTTTTTACTGATGGAGTGATAATTTCACCATCATCAAAGCACTCTTCATCAGTTAACTCGTCCACCTCAGGCAGTAAAGGAATTATATCTGAATCTCCCTAGAAAACACATATTCTAATGCTTCTTCAGCAGTGTGAGACACTTTACGCCTGAACGTTTCGGAAAAAATGAAAATGGAAAAAAAACAGTATTAGTAACCACTAACGCCCAGCGATCTGTTTATAGATCAGCATGTTTAAGATAAAAATTTAATTATAAGAACAGTTATTTCTCTAAATACTGCAGAACAATTAAAGAGGTATTGAAAATGTAGAATACATAAGAAAAGTACAACTTACTTTAACTTTTTTTTTCCTTTGAATACAAAATCGAAAGCTGTACTGTGAGGCTTCACCTGGCTAACTTCAGAGGTTATCTGCTAGATTGATCTGGAAAAGAATGATTCAAAACGCTTTTGGGTATGTGGCCACATGTGTAAGGAAATCAACCAATGACAAGATGAAATGTTTAAAATATATTCTTCTTTGTGGGCATTTTAAAAGTAGGTCTATATAGTCCACCCAGTAATCTATTTATAGATCACTGGGTGGTAACGGATTAACTTCAGCTGTTGAAAATTTCACTTAATTCAACAGTTGATTAATTTGAAAAAACTTTTCTGATTTGCCATTCCATAAAAATGCATTATTAGATTTTATCTTAATACTTGAGTCCAGCCATTTGTGTGTGCATTAATTACTAGTGCCAATTGAATTGTATAGTACTAGTGATTATGCTAAAGCTTTGTTCAGACGGGGGCGTAAAGGGCATAAGTGGTTAAAGCAGAGCTCCGTTGCCAAGGCAAGCAGTCTGTGCTACGTCACAAAATCTGGTTTAGGGCGCGTGGCATAGGGTTCAAAGTTTTCAACTTTACGCCAAGTTTGGGATAAGCATTGACCAATTAGAGAGAAGCTAAGACGAAGCGGCGTTCTACGGATTTCGCTGTCACAAAACAAGCAGAGCGAACGTGGGAAATCAATCGAGCAAAAGAACAACAGTGTGAAAAAATTGTAGACTATTCCACCCATGTGCAAATTTAGCTTCTGTCATTGGCCACGGCTTACATCCCGTTCTCGCAAGTGTGAACGGAATTCCCATATTTTATGCCCTTATGTCTACGCTTCTATGCCCTTTGCGCCGCTGTCTGAACACAGCCTAATGGCCCATTAAGTGCTACCACTGTATGCCAATCAGTTTCATTACTAGGAATTAAAACTCATGTATCCATTAGAAAAAAAGGGAGAAAAACAAAAATTTTAAAAATCTGGTTTAATTATGTAATATTTTCAGAATTTGTAAATGTGTTTATTCAATAACATATAAATTTTGTAAATAAATTGTACTATTATAAATAAAAGTTGAATTATTTATGTCTAATTAAAATTAGAATCAGTTGATAATATCTGTTTTCGACACTGATTTGTAAAACAATAATGAAAAAAAAGTATAAGGCTGACCTTCTGAATGTATCCTTTGTGATTTGGTCACCCTCAGCCAGTTTTAACCAGTTAAGATATTTCATATATATATTTTTAATTTTTTTAGACCATTTAAAAGAAAATTGACAATTTTCCATGACTATGCAAGGTAATTGTGCTAACTTTTAATAATATTGAGAGCAATGGCTTGGTTATGCATGTTTAGAAGATGGAAATTTAATGTATAAAAAGCTTGCAAATAGAAAAAAAGTTTTCTTAAACTCCATCATCTCCCTGTGGAATGTTTGGTGCCTGGTTCAATATCTGCTGCCCATTATCTCCCAAAACATTGTCACCTCTAAAATCTGTTCCAACCATACTAGCTCTAAGACCAGCTCTATACCTACACCATATACTAATTAAAATTTGAATATAGTGTCACATTTTTTGGAGGAATTTCTATACCACCAAGTGTAAGTAATGGAACTAATGTCACTTAAATTTGGTAGTCATAGTGTTTAGATAGTCATCACTTAATTTATAGGTAATAACAAAAATCTGAGTGCATGTATAAAATTAGCATACATAAAATATTGAAAACACTTCTTATTTGTTCTGTGATAGAATTTTTATTGATCATTGTTATTATTGAATTAATTGTTACATGCTTGGTTAATATGATTACTTTCAATTAGAATGATTAAAAAATTTGTTTTTAGGTCTTAGATGAGCTTTTTAAAGTGATTCGTCATGTTATGAATGAACCTTATATTGTTGATTGTAGTCAACTGACACAAGAACTCCGAGATTTGATAATAATGGCCATCGAAGACTTTGATGAAAACATATATCCGTATCTTAAATATAAATATGATCCTGCTCATACACAAGCCAATGACTTCTTTTCTGATGGAACACATAGATCTCGAGGTAATATCTCTTATTTCTTTTGAGATTTGTATCATTCCTTTACCAAGTATTGCAGATGTGAGAAAGAACTAGCTATATAAAAATAATCAGTATGCATAATAATTCTATTAGTGTTATATCCATTGTCTTTTGTGTTTTTTTATATCTAATTTCCACCGCTAAAGTGATATCCAGATGAAATTTTGCTTAGTTGCTATTTATGTTCCATAGGAAAATATAGCCTAAAAATCTGCAAGTGCTATTTCTGAATGCATAATTGTGTGTAAATTTCAGATTATTAAAACATTGCCTTTAAATTAAAAACGTAGAAAAAATGCATGATAGTAAAGTAAAAGAAAAAAATTATTTTTTATGCCAATTAATGTGTGATGCGTAACTCAGCTTAGAAATGTATACAGTTGTCTTTTTAGAAAGAGATAATAGTTATTCAAATTTTTAGTTTCAATAATAGTCAAAGGAGACATTGTCTCTCAAAACTGTGATTTCTGCTTTCAAAGTATCACTCTAAAAGATAGGAGGACCTGCTATGAAATGGTATTTTACCTTACGTAGCAGAAGGTAAGTATTGGATTTCTCGCATTGATACAGGAAGGAGAATTGCTCCATGTTGGTTCTATGATAAAAAATTTATATTCTCATCTTCTGGAGAGAATCAAGTGGTAAGCCATCACATTTTAGTATGTATCCAGAACTGTAGACTTAGAACACTAATTTTTGTCTATTGGAGCTACCTCAAGTCTGTAGGTATATCTAGGTCATTTACTACCAGTTTGATGCCTGGGTATTTCATTACCTGCAGCAAAAAAAAAAAATCTGCAACCATATGTTGAATGCAGAATTAAATATTTATATGCTATTTTTTATGTAATAGGATTTAAAATGAATGTATGTGTAATGGTTTATATTTAGAAAAATGTGGGTGAAACAGTCTCTATCTGGAAGCTTCAAATTGAAATCTAAAACCTGTATAAAGACTTTATCATTAAAATTAAAATGGGTATAAATTAAAAGTTAAAAAATAGACTATGATCTTCAAATTAGGTTCAAATTTAATACCTGAAACAGTTTTTAACAGTTGCAATAGGCCTTTAGGTAGTACGGTCTTTATTTCATCATAAATTAATGCCACTTGAAAGTTTTTTAGTTATTTAGTTGATTTGACATTTCCTGTAATTTTATATAATTATACAAAATATAGTTGTGCAGTTTTTCTAACTGGAATCCTTGTGCACGAGATTTTAATAGACATTTCTGATAAGGGAAGTAGGGACTGTTCTTTTTGCCAGGACATCACATTTGCTCAGTGAAAACCCTACCTTCTATGTGGTGTTAACCCTTTCATGGCAACGCACCTTTGTTTAAGATGCTTGTGCGGGATGGAAGGGAATTGAAGGCAGTCACTGTACAGGACAGAGGTTAAGCTAAGCCTAATTTTTTTTTAAAAAAATCAGAAAAAAAAAGTTTCACTTCTAGCGTCGTAATTTTTGGTATCATTTTAGATTATTACTTGAGCTCTTATATATCTTAAAATTAGCACTTAATAACATTTTTTTCTTTTTTTTTTTTACATGAAAATATACTTAAATCCAAAGTTTTAATTGATAAAATCCATCAATAAGGTTTAAAATTAATAAAACAACACAATAAAGACTATTTACAGTAAGTAGTAACAAAATTTAAAAATGAAGACTGAGCATGGTAAATCTTGAAGTACGGAGAAGTATCACTTTCTAACTCTTTAGAAAATGAATCATCACTCTCATCTGTGTTAGTTAAATGGTTCATTAACCATATGAGGGTATTCTTCCTCTGATAAATAGCACCTTCCCGCCATAATAGACTGGAGGTGAGGCTTTCTGAGATATAAAGAGAAGAAACGGAAATATATCTGAAGGCAATGCAAAACGTAACAGAACTCCACATAGTAACCCTAAAAGGCCATACATAGTAGAGGGAAAAAATAGAATAAAAAAAAAGGAATTTGGGTATGAATCAGACATGCGAATGTTTATATTAACATGCAGCGATTTAAAGAGCTCACCACTGTTTATGCTTTCCCTCCCCCTTTACCTCGCAACAGTTGATGAGTAAAATACCAAAGGTCAAACAGATTATATCAAATTCAAGTTCAGGAACCTAAAACTGTGTTCATTTCAAAAGTAATGGACATAGGATGCTATCTAGTGGCCTTCAGAAAAACGTTCCAGCTAAAAATGCGTATATGTGTCACCCGTCCTCTGAATGCAATCTCTAGTGATGGGTGGATGGGATGCCCGGCTGTAAGAGATGTTCTTAGGGAATCCGTATACGGGACGCCCATCCTGAAAGGGTTAAAAAAGTGCGTATGATTTAAATAAATTGTTGTTTTAAGTAACAGAGTCAAGCATCTATGAATAAATTAGAATGAAATAATCAGGTTTCTTTATAATTTAGGCTTTTAATGAGGCAAAATTAATAGTTTTCTCGAAGCTTAGTTATTTCAATTTGTATTCAAGAGATAGTATAGAATGGTTTGGTAATTTTTGTTGCCAAAAGCACCTCATAATTTTTCACAGTGGCCTAGAATTGTTCATTCCTTCAATATGTTTGTATTTCTAGTCCATTATAATGTAAAATTTATGTAAATATAGAAAATTTAGTAAACAAAAAGAGATCATATGTCTTGTCCATTACTAAATATTAAAAAGCTCAAAATTTTCAAAACACTTGTTACAAATTGTGTTCAAAATGGCCACTATCAGCAGGAACGCAATGTAAAATTTATGTAATATGGAACACAATGTAAATAATGTAAAATTTATGTAAATATAGAAAATTTAGTAAACAAAAAGAGATCATATGTCTTGTCCATTACTAAATATTAAAAAGCTCAAAATTTTCAAAACACTTGTTACAAATTGTGTTCAAAATGGCCACTATCAGCAGGAACGCATATATTTAAATTCAGAAGGGGAGAAATTTCTTGTTCATGAAATAGTAATATCTAGGGCAATCTTGTTTACTGTCGGAAAAACCTTTGGATTGGCCTTTCTTGTTCTGCTTCAGTGGGCTGTTATGGACAGCAGCAATTGTGGTTTTCTGTTGTTTCATTTAGATGACTGTGACTTGATCTTCCACAAACACTCCCAAAAGTGTGCAATTACTTTCAAAGTCAGAAAATTTCACTTTGAGAGTTATCAAGAAAATTTGTTACTTGCCTTTGTAATTTATCTAAGTGTTCAGCAAACCACTGATTCTTGTAAAATCATAGCATAGAAACTTGTTCTACAAAAAGAACCTGTTAAACTAAAATTTTGAAATGAAAACAGCAAAATGCTTTTTTTCAATTGACAGTTATATTTTTGAAATTGCTGAAGCTTTTTTACATAAAAAGAAATCTTCTGATTTTTTGAAACACTAAATTCAATAATTTAGTTCATTAGACTTTAATTAGATTTTTCATATTAAGTGAGCATAAGGTTGTGAAAGCAGGGTGATCCCTGAATATTTTTGTCTGCATAGTTTCTGATATTTGAATGCTTTTGATTTTTAATTGTTAAGATATGATGTTTTTCATCTTCACTTCTCATCTTTATGAGTATTATGATGGCACTCATGATACAGCAAAAACATCTATCAGTACTGATTGTGTTCTAAACGTACATTGTTACTGTCTGTGATAAAGTAATCACTGACAAGAATAATATACACTGTACACTGATGAGGAAAAAAATCCCAATGCCAAGAAATATTATTCTAGAGTAATGGAATTTCAGCAATACATTTGTGTAGGTAGCATATTTAATTGATTGGATTTTTAAAATTACAAGTTAATGCAAGAGTAAGAACAGCCATTTCAAAGGTGAAATGCTGGTACATCAATAACCGGTGTAACCACCAGAATTTTGAATGCAAGCGCGCATGCATTGTGTTGTACAGGTGCTGGATGTCAGTTTGTGTGATGGAGTTCCATGACTGTTGCACTTTATCGGTCAATACAGGGGCAGTTAATGATGCTGGAGTTATTGTCTAATGATGTCCCATGTGTGCTCGATTGGAGAAAGATCTGATGTTCTAGCAGGTCAATTAAACATGTCGACATTCTGTAGAGCATGTTGGGTTACAATAGCGGCATGACGGCAAGCGTTACAGCACGTGTCAAACTGGTGTTGTACAGGTGCTGGATGTCAGTTTGTGTAATGGAGTTCCATGACTGTTGCGCTTGGTCGGTCAATAAAGGGGCAGTTAATGATGGTTGTGGATGATGCTGGAGTTATTGTCTAATGATGTCCCATATGTGCTCGATTGGAGGAAGATCTGGTGTTCTAGCAGGTTAATTAAACATGTCGACATTCTGTAGAGCATGTTGGGTTACAATAGCGGCGTGAGGGCAAGCGTTGTCTTGTTGGAAAATACCCCCTGGAATGGTCTACGCTGCAGACAGGTTTGTTGTAAGCATTCACCGGTTTCCTTCTAACCAATACACGGTAATCACTGGTACCAAAGCAGAACCGACTTTCATCAAAAAGCACGACAGATCTCTACTCCATCCTTTACTAAGCTCTAGCTGACACCACTGATGTTGCAAACGGCAGTGTTTTGGAGTCAGTGGAATGCATGTTACAGGGCGTCTGGTTCGTAAGCTGTCTTTCAATGATTTCTAACAGTTTGTTGTGTCACTGTAGCACCAACTGCAGCTTAAAAATCTGCTGCAGATGCAGCACGATGTGTCAAAAAGAAAAAGACAGTATTCTCTTTCAGTAGTGACATGTGGCCACGCAGATTTTTTTGAGCCAGTGCCTTCTCTAGATCAGTACCTGCCGACAATCATGCACAGTGCATACATTCCTACCAAGTCTTTCTGCAATATCGGGGAAAGAAAATCCACTTTCTAGTACTCCTAGTACACTGTGTCGTTCAAACTGAACTCTTGTAAATGCCATCTTCGTATTCTTAAAGGCATTTTTCGCTAACATCAACTCACTATGTCAAATCTCAAAGATAAACATTCATGAACTTTACAATGCATATTTAAAACAAACTGAATTGCGTGTTCATAGTAGCACCACACGTATGCACCTAGTGCAAAATTTGAATAGACATCATCTTTTTTTTTTTTTTTTCATCAGTTTGATTTTGTCATAATCGTTACTTAGTGTCTGTCAACAGAATAAAAACTGGAATTTTTTACGATTGAATATGTTGTTAAGAATGGTGATCATGTTTTTAAATCAAAATAAGTTGTGTATATACTAGCAAATGAGTTATTTTAATATATGTTTCAGGAAGAGATAGTTTCTTAATAAACAATACATTCTTTGCATAGCTTTCTTTCTTGTCTTATTTTGTGCCAGTGAGCAAATAAAAAAAATTGCTAGTCCATGTATATTTGCCATTTCGTATGGTGTTAATAAAGACGTGCAATTAGAATATCATCGTATATCTTTTTAAAGTATTATACCAATAAGATAGTTTTCATTTGTTGATTATATAGGCTCATAATTATGTTAATTGTAAATAGTGAAGAGTTCAGTTTTCATGCATATTTCTAACCACTTTAACAAGAAACTTCATTCATTGGCAATCTTAAAAGATGCTGTCTGTTGACATGCATTAAATAACCTTATAAAAGTGCTGTTTCTGCTAGCCATACATTTTATTTCATCCTAGGCTGCTCCCAATAAGGATGACTGTCATATTCATTGTTTAGCTTGGTTAATGTTTATCTCTCTGTTCTGTGGCTTAACCATTGAATGTAATTTTAATATTAAGAAAATTTCGCAAGAAATCTTTTAGAAACCTTTAAAATTTTCAATTTTTCATTTTTTGCCATATTTTTGAAGCTTTATAATTTTTGAGTGGGTGCCATTGTTTTTATTATACGTTCATTACTTTGTGAGATATTAAAAATAATGTTAACATTAAAGCAGCTACTGTTCTTCCACCAGCAATGATCGTGTCCGTTGCTGTGGTATTTTTTATAGTTTAAAGGATTTTGTGCTTGAGACGCGTTGAGGATAGCAAAGGGTGCGGAGGTATTTTGGCATTGTTACTCAGTTTGTTTTTCTTAATTTTCTTGTTCGGAAAGTTTGGGGTTTTGTAGTTATTTATTTAATTATTTTAACAGCATTGCTGATCATTATTGCTTTTCATTATTTGTAGATGAAGATAGTTTTTTTGTTTGTCTTTATTCCTTTCCAGAATTTAAATTATACCTTTATGGATATAACCTGAAATCCCATGTTCAAGGTAGGATATTTTCCTTTCCCTTTTTTCATTTATATGTGCTTTTACTGCTCATCATTTGTGATCTTAATACGATTTTTTAACTTTCTGTATGTGTATAGTTCCTTTTTGCATAACGTCTGTACTGATGCTATCAGATTGTTTACATTCCGATATGCCCCCTTCATCTCTAGGGCTTCTTTCATGGTAGAGACAATAGTTCGTTGACCTCAGTATTTGCTGCAAGAGAGTAAAATCGGAAATTTTTGCTCCTTGAAATTAGGAATATGTACAAAGTAGAGTGATTCTTTCTTTTGCTTACTCATTTATTTCTAATATAAATATTTCAGCATTTAGATTTAAAAAATTTGATCCCCTTCACTGGGAAGAGTGTTTGGTCCGTAAAAATTAGTACGATTTCTAAAGCTCATTTGTGATTTGTTGCTAGGATGTTTTATTTTTTTATTATTATTTGTTTCTTTCTGTATGATTGTTGAAGTCTTAATGTGGAAGTGTTTAAAATTATTTTTCTTGATCATGTCATGTCAATTGTATTTCTTTACTCTTACTCCTAGGAATCATTGTGGCTTTAAAGATTCCGCTTTTTAGGACTATGTGATCGTTTTGTAATGTTTCACGATTTAGTCCAAACATTTAATGCTTTTATCAGAAGCTTCCCTGTGCTTTCTAGTTTATTGCTATTTACTTTGAACTCATTTAAATATGGATATCTCCATCTCTTTTTTTTTTTTTTTTTTTTGGACGGATATGGTCTCAGCCTGTGTATGCGTATCTACAGTTGTCTCCTGCTGTGTTCTAAAAAATGTATGAAAATCTACTTTTCTCTCATGCTGTGTTTCTTTGTTGCTGTAGTGTCTCATTGTGGTGGTGTGTAATTTGTGCTAAACAAGATACGCTCTAGGCGTCAAAAGGAATGTCTTATGTGCCCAATAATTGCTGGCCTACACTAAAATAGTACATTGCGTTAATAACCCTAGAAAGAGAAATACATAAAACATTTCACTTACCCTATGACTAATAGTGCCTTTTCAATAAATACGCTCGTAATTGCATCACATTAATTTATTATATCATTCATTAATGAATATGTTATTCTCGGTTAAATACGAAATATAAGAACATTTTTACTCCACATATTGTCCATAACCAAGTCAATATAACATGTAACCAATTCAGTATAATCTGTCCACATCACAGGCTGCCGCTCTTTGCAGAAATTAATATATTCTCACTTGCACTGGTGCAGTCAAGCTGCTCACGATGTTATCACTTATTTTCTGTCAGAAAGATTCTCGATGGAATTCACTTCATTTTTTAAGCTTGCTGCTCGTTAGGCCTTTCTCTGCTACATCACACCTTTCTCAGAATGTGTGTCACGTGTTTCAATCAAGACGAGGGAATGCATAAGAATTGCAGAAACGTAAAACCACGATGTAACACACAAATGTTGAATCATCCCTAAAACTGTTTTATGAACATACAGATTTTTATCCATTTCTCATGCTTTTTCCCTTTTTAGCCTCAACTGCATCTTCCTTGCTTACATTCCAATACAGGAAGAGCGAGGGCGAAAACCCCACTCTTCCGCCTGCTGTCGTCTTCAGAAAGAGAGAGAAAAAGCAGTTCTGCAAGAATTTATTCCCGCAGGCAGCTATTCAATGACGATTTAGCTTATGATTGAATGGATGACAGTTAAACCCACCAGTGAGAAAACTGTGCTCTCACACTCATGATAGAAGCAAGCATTTTGCGTTGTATTCCATTGTTTGGACTCCCCTACTTTTTATTTAGCTTAAAGTTAGCTTTCTGGCTAGATTTTAAATTGTTATCAAGTTGGACCCTTATTTTTTTTCCCTTTGGCTTTGCTGGCACTTTTAACTAGCTCAAGCACACTTAACCCTTTAAAGGGCATTGGTATATAATATATACCGATTGTTTGTCAATTTTTTTTACCTCTGAAAAAATGCTAATTTTTCTACACCAAAAGCTATAATCGTAATTGTCTAGTGTTTTCGTTCGATTCTAAATGGCAGCATCACCCTATGAATACTCAATATTTTGCATTATGAAATTAATATACCTTGTTCAAGGTCCATGTTGGAATTGATATTGGGGGAAAGAAAAAATTCAAAATCTGCCAATATAGACATATACATGCTGAATCTTCTATTTACCTCATTCAGTCAGAAGTAATAATAACAGAAGATTTTTATACGATTTAAAACGGTATAATATTTTCTGAGCCCACACTGAGGGTACATGCCAATAGATGCGCACCAGTTCTTCTCCTTTTTACTCTGTGACATGACAGAATCTTATTATTATAACAATTTATGATGAATAAACTTTATGATTAATTATAAGTCATTTAGATTAAATATTATGTTCACAGAGGAATAGGGAGTTTACTGACTCTGCGCTAGGAGAAAAGTATATTAGTTTCATTTATTTTTTGGACTCATCTCAATTTCATTCGTCTGTGTTTAGCTAAATTTTTATTTCAGACTTATTCCTTTCCCAGAGAAAGACTCATCGATTTCAAATTGCCGTCTGGGGTCAAACTTTACACAATTGTGGGAGTTAAATGTGGCATGCTAGCCCCCAAAGGACACTGTTGCTTCGGTTTCCAAAATCCTAGAGTGCAAGAAAAATTAAAGAGGTGTGACAACCAATTGTCATTCAGGAGTCACGCCTTTTCCCATTTGAGGTGATAGATCACAAGGAAAGTACTTAAGTTCCATCTCATAGGTAATTACAAAAAACGTGGTTTGAAACATGCTTTTATTCTTTAGGGAAATTCTTTTCAATTCTTTGTTAATTTCAGGAAAGATAGAGAACACAAGATAATTCGTCCTCTGGTTGATACAAATAGGTTGTTCCGAAATAAATTTCATAGTTGGTGAAAAGGAAGAAATATTTTTAAGGCCCTTAAAGCCATGTTATCCAAAAGTTAAAGGAACCCTGAAGCCAAAGGGGTTTAAAATCGGAATAAGAGCTTTGAAGTGTACAAATATAGAAATTGCTATGCATCTTCCTGAACAAAAAGATATATTACAACCTTATATTTAAAAAAATAAAAAAGGGACCCTACAGTCCTCATTAATATCTAAAGGTGTTTGCGTGGAGGGGGGGGGATTCTTATATAGTATGAAGCTGGTTTTTCACATATTATCTAAAGCATAAAATACAACTTCAAAAATGCAACATACTATCTCAGCTGAGTCATGTGTTATTTTCAGTTTTTTAATTTTTGGTTGAGTTACATCTGCTTGTAAATTATTCTAGTTCCAGTTAAGCATGATACGATTTATGCATGCAGTGTTATATTTGCGAATTTTTTTATAAAATAATAATATGATTTAAATCACTGAGAACTTTTACCATATTTTTTTACAGTATGTTCAGCTGGTGGAGCTCTCAAGGCATTAAAAACAAAATTTTATTTTAAAATTTTTATTTCTACCGAAATTTTTAAAATTATTTGTCTTCGGTGTACATAACATATTGAAGCACTATCACCACAGAACACACCAAAAGTACAAAAAATTATTTTAAAAAACAGAAATTAGGAGTTGGCAGCTACCTGGAAAAAAATGTCTTAGAGATACCGGCTCTCAAAATTCAGGATTTCGCTCTAGATTTTTTTGAAGTCTCAATTTTGTGTCCTTAGGGTCCATATTTAGTTCATGAAAATTTTACTACAATTAAATTATTTTATGTACTGACCCCTCAAGGTTAAAGAGTTTTCTCAAAGCACTAAATAATTTCTTCAAATTCTATCTCGTGAACAAGAAATAAAATTATGTTCTAATAAAAGTTTGTCTGTTTTGTAATTACTGCAAAATACATTACGTCTTAATTAATTGGGATGTTCCACCGAGGATACTGGAAATTAGGAGTGATTATCAATTTCGATGGTGCTGGTTCTTATCCAGAAATTTGTGAAAATTTTAGACAAGTTGCTAATACCATGCGAGTTTGTTTTTCAAGGAAATGATGTAGAAGTCTGCCCATTTTAAGCCAGATTTGAAGTGGATCATTCAATATTTTTTCTTTACTTGCGCGCAGAAAAAATTGTCAAAAATAGGATACTGTGATATCCAAAGATAAGATTAACTTTTGGTTTTATAAAAAAAGTATTTATGAATTTTGGTATTTCATTCGATATTATAGTAAATGTAAAAGTTCTGTGTGACAATACTAAAATGTAGGGAATTTATAATATATTTGTGGTAGAGTATTTAAAATTATATTTAGTTTACGTTATTTGTACTAATTTTTTGTTGATAATTGATATATGTATGCCATCCCAATTATTAAAAAAAAAGAAAAGAAAAAAAAAAAAAGCTGGTTTTGAATTGTGGGCGGGGAAAAGGAGTAATATAAACAGATTGTGATTGATGCTGCAGAATTGGCAAGTCTTTTTTTTTTTTTTTTTGTTTTTCGTTTCGCCTCCAGGATGTGGTAGAAGAGTAAGTCATCCCGAGTTAAGAGATTGTATATTCAAAAGTTGTATTGCCAACTGGCAAATTGTTTTGTACCGCCAACCAGGTTGTGGAGATAGATAGTAAATCCTCAATGAATGTGGGTAAAATTCCATGTATTGTTAACTGGCAAAGGTGTTTATATAGTATAGCTAACAAAGTGTGAAAGTGAGTTAAAACGTCACCCGACGTAGTGTTTAGTATTTGTCCAACCTGGCAAGTTGTTGAATAATTCTCTCCAATTGGTAGTGTGATTTGTATTTTGAGAAATTAAGTCTCGCCAAAATTTATATATTTTTTAATACAACTTTTAAGATTCAATTTTAAAAGAAAGCCTTTTAAAGGTAATTTGTTTAACATGTCATTCTTAGATAGGAGCACAAACCAGGATGATTTAAAAGTACTGGCAGAACAGTTAGGTTTAACCATGAGACCTGAATTTATGATTACTTAATTACATAAATTGATTACTGAAAGTCCCAATTATGATGAGGTATTTACTCGAGAATTACTGGCTGC